CGTGCGCCGAATATGCGGTCCGCCGGCAACCTTCCCCTGGGTCGCGCGCGTTCCCTGTCCGCGGAGCTATAACGCCGCGACGCCGGCCGCTAGCTGCCACAACCCGCATACGCCCAGCTGCGCGCGGGGCTTCCCCGTCCCAGAGTCTGGCGCCCCGCACGACAGAGAGGAAGGACTGGGGAGAACCACGCGCGAAGGACAAAGCCTGGAAGACAAGGTTAAATCTTTCATTCTCGTGGGCGTCATTTTCTAGGCCCAAACACTGTTTTCTTTGCGGAAAGTGATTCTATCTAGCTAGCCTGTTGACACAGAGGAACAGTAACACTATAGGATTTGAACGAAAATGAGTGGTAACAATGCAACCAGTGGGTTGCTAGAAAGTAAATGGAACTCGTTTCATAGAATGTTCATACTTGTTAAATTTGTCTTGTGGAATCATTCACTTCCGTATACACTCATTCCCTACTTGTTGAAGTGCTTCAGCGTCTATTAGGATTGTTAGGAGCAGAGGATTCAAAGATACTGGATATAATTGGGAATCCACAGTGCTCACGTAGTGAAGGAAACACTTATAAATAAGCTAAAGTATAATTAAATAGACCAATTCACAAAAGGCCATACCACATCATGATTAATCTGGCCTCACACTAGAAGCACCACGTTCAGCTTGGTCTGGAAGGATGAGCAGCCAACTAGTAAAAGCACACTTTCGTTTACTGGTTGGAAACTGGTTTTGACTCAGCATGTGATTTGCATAAGAGGAGAACAAGCTAATAATCTAAAATAATATCACCTTGGCAACTCCTGTCCACTTTTTCTGGGTACCCAGAAGGATGAAATTACACTACTTCTTTATGAATAATTTCATTCTGAAAGTTACCCACTTACATTGTAAAAACTCTTCTAGTCAGTGTAATTAGTAGGCAAACATCATCATTTACCCATTCTTTTACTGATACATATGTAACTTTTTCTTTAATGTTGTTAAAAAGATAAACTGAGGCATATTAAGAATTTTGAGTTTATTTGAGCAAAAATTTATTCAAATCAGGCAGTACCAAACTGGAAGGGGTTAGGAAAGCTCAACTGACCAGAGCTAAAGGCAAGGCTTTTTTAGACAACATACACAGGCAAAGCAAAGCAATTATTTGAGTGGCTGTAAGTTGAGCAGTTGCGTTGTTTGGGAAAACTTAGTTGGCTGTTTATAATTGGTGATTGGTCTTATCCTTGTTGAAGCATTTACAGGAATTGACTCTGGCTTAGGTTTTGGTTTCCCTACTAGGCTACCAAGTACCAGAGTCATCTCAGTCTAATAGCCTTCTCTACGATTACTTTAACAATATGCTGAGAAAACCTGCATTTTTATCTCCTGTTAAGCTTAGTTTCATCCTACAAATATAGTCAGTAAGTAAAACATTTGGTCTACTTCTCAAGGTTTCTAAATAGCTAAAATGAAATCATATTCTGAAGACTGTGCTATAAAATTATAGGGAATTGTTATACATTGTTAAAATAAATTTCCCAAGTCTAGTAATTTAGAGACACTTGTTGAATGTAAACCTCTTGAATGATATTTAATTTATTTATTTTTTTTGCTATTTAAGAAATAAGCTTTGATTCCTTGTTCATATCACCTGAGAGGTTCCCTTTAAAAATAGAAGCTGATGGAAAAATTGAAAATGGCTGTCACTTTCAGACTGGCCATCATTACTGTATGTAATTTTTGTTTTTTTAGCTGTCTTTCCTCCCCATTCACCAATATCCTTCCCATCCTTTAAGGTGAGCTTAAGATCAGAATGGCATGATGGGAAAAAAATGAAAAAAAATTTGGTAAAGCTAGTCTATTTATAAGAACCCTAAATACTTATTTATACATTACTGATTTAAATCGTATACTGGGAGGATCTTTCTAGAAAAAAAAATTTGTCAACAGATTATCAAAATCTTTTAAAATGTTCATATTCTAAAGAAATAATCAGAAACATGGCCAAAGATTTCTGCAGAGATACTGAACACAGTATTACATTTTAAAGTGATTTAAAATGGAAATAAGATAAATAGCCAGTATTAAGGAAATAATTAAGTGAATCATGGTGCATTTCTGCAATGTAATTCTATACTGACATTTTAAATGATGCTGTGGAGGTTTTGGTTACGGACGTTTGAGTTTTTGAGGTTTGTTAAGTTGGAAAGGAAACAGTATACAGAACCCCATATATACAGTGTGCATTACATGCCACTGAGGCAGCTCTGGCTCCTGTCTATCCCATGAGAGTGACATCCACAATGTCCTGTCCTCAACAGCCCTGCTCACCTCCTGTAGACTCAGCCTGTGGCTTCTTTTATGGAATCAATCCATCTCATATTTGGTCTTCCTCTTTTCCTGCAGCCTTCTATTTTTCCCCAGCATTATTATCTTTTTCAAAGAACCCTGCCTTCTCATGATGTGCCCAAAATAGGACAGGTTCAGTTTTGTCATTTGCCTCCAGTAATGTTTCAGGCTTAATTTTTTACTTGTTCATCTTTCTGGCAATTCATGGTATCCATCAAGCTCTCCTCCAACACCGTATTTCATATCAGTCTTTTTCCTGTCAGCCATCTTCACATCCATACATAGGAACTGGGTATACGAGGGTGTGGGTGATCTCAGGCTTGTAATCACACATCTTTGCTATTGGTGATCTTTCCAAATTCTTCCACTGCTGCCCTTCCAAGTTTCAGCCTGGTCTTGATTTCTTGGTTGCAGGCTCTATCTGAATTGATGAGAGAACCAGGGTTAAACAAAATTTTAAACAATTGCAATGTCTATGTGAAAGTTGTGTATTTCTTCTGTAGTTACGATTTTTGCCTTCTCGGTTGTTCAAATGCAGTCCAGCTTTGGCATTTTCTTCTTTCACTTTTATCAAAAATCATTTCAAATCTTTGCTACTTTCTGCCAGCAAGATGGTGTCACATGCATATTTTGTTTTTGATATTCCTTTTACCAATTCTCACTCTCCTTCCTCTGAGTCTATCTAACTTTTTTGTATATGTTCTGCATACAAATTAAACTCATAGAGAGACCAAACGCACCCATGTCTGACACCTTTGCCTACAAGAAACCATTCTGTCTCTCTCATTCTATCCTGGCAGTGGCTTCCTGTCAACCATACAAGCTACACCTCAGAAAAAAAAATCGAGTGCATGATCGGTGATCTCAGGCTTGGAGATCACCTATGTAAACGCTCATAGAAAAAACAAAATATCTGCGATTTCTGCATTTTTTATAATAAGCATATTATATTGATTACACAAATAAAAATTTTAAATTTAATTTTGCACAAAAGAAGAAAAAAGTCCTGGACTAGATTCTAGCCTTCAATCTGGCTTTAGCTAGCCTCCGTATCCTCACCTGGAAAATGCTATCATTCCATAGTACAGTGAGGGAAAAAGGCAAGATAGGCCAGAAAAGGACAGTTCAGAAGGAAAAGGAGGAAAGATCTGATTGAAAATGGGCCCGCAGCCTCCTCTTCTCACCCCACTGCGTCTCCTCCCCACCAAACTCTGAATACCATCACCGCCAACGAACTTTCACGATGTTTGCAAAGGCTTTGTTTGATAAGTTAACCGAGGGCAGTCTTTCTGTAAAAAGCAATACAGTTTATCTGCCAAATTAACTAAAAATGTCTTCCCCGCACACAAGTCATTAATTAGGTCAACAAACTGTGGGTCGTCTCTTTCCGTTTGGGGACGTTGTTACACAACAGCGCCTAGTTGAGCAACTTGCGATGGTGAGCTGCTTGGCCCTACGTGCCACGGTCCGTACACAGAGGGTGAATATTTAGCTGTTTCAGCCTTCCTGGAAGGGTGCCTGATGTTGACCACAGGCAGCAAATAAAAAGGATGGGCGCGTCGAGAGAGAGCAAGGGAACCCGAGAGCAAGAGGGGGCGTGGAGCGACAAAGAAGGTCTCAGAACGGAGTACTGGCGACAGGCAGACGCCTGGAATTTCTGTGAATGATCTCAGAATCTAGACGCGCTGAGCATCCCCGGCGCGGGGTGGGGACGGGGTGGAGGGCTGGGGGAAATGTGCTTACTTTTCGGAAAACATTGAACCGTACCGGGAAGGGAGGAAATGAGGCCAGCCGATTGCGCGAGCAGTTGAGATGCTCTTCAACGCGCACCGCAATTTCTCACAAAAGGACACAAAAGACAGATGTTGCTTCCTAAAGAACACGATCTTGTCAGCTTCGAAACCACACTCGCAACTTTCGATCTTTTCTCTACAGTCTCCGGCCTCCAGGCGTACCCCAAAACGAGAGGCAGGGACAAGCTCTAAATTTGCCCAAGTCTTAAGAGCCGGCGTGAGAAACTACAAGTCCCGGGACGCGCTGCTGCCTCAACCAAACACCGGCGGACTCGCCGGAGAAACTACAAATCCCAGGATGCAGTGTGCGGTCTCGGCCCACGTGCGCGGCTCTGAGAACGCGATCCCTGCGGAAAATGGGCCAAGGTCGGCTCTGCATGCCGGGAACCGGGAGACCTGGTATCGGATTGGTTGAGATTTGCCAATGATACTGGGAGAAGGGAAGGGGGCGCTGTGGCCGAAAATAGGCCGCGCCCTCCCCGCCTCGCCGGATATTAATCTCCCGCGCGTGGTACAGAGCGTCGGTGACCCGGCGGAAGTGATTCCTCCCAGTGCCCCGGAACCCACGGCGGCAGGCTTGTGGGGGTGGGGGGGTGGCCCTGGCGTCGGGGCTGTGGAGGTGCGCGGGACCCGGCGCGGTGGCTGCGGTGGCTGCGGGACTGACGAGTGAGTCTCGGGCTGTGGGGAGGGAACGAAGATGCAGGTCCGCGTGGAGAGCGAGGGGGGCTCGGACCGGGCGCGCTCGATGCCCCGATGCCCCGCTGCCCACCTCTTCCCATTTGGGCGGGGAAGGAACGGAAGCTCCCGACCTCCCGGGGCCTCCTCTGCCCCTGGTTTGGGGGAGGGGAGAAGAGGGCGGCGGGCCCCCTCCCGGCGCCGTCCGGTGGGCTCGGAAAAAAGGCGGAGGTGGGGCGGTGCCGGGGGAACGGGGCCTCCTCGGGGCTGAGCGCGGGGAGCGTGGAATTCGGGGCATGGCAGCTCGGTCGCTTTTTGTGTGTGCGTTCCCCGAGTGCGCCGAGAGTCCCCCTTTTCTGGGAGGCAGTCCCTACCCCGGGGAGAGGCCCTCGCTCTTCCTGGCTGCGGGACCCCGAGAAGTTTCCCTTCCGGGCAGCTTACCGGGCGACCTCGGCCCGACTCGGTGGCTTGAGGCTGTCGCGCATCTCTCTCCCTCCCCGTCGTGTCTGGAAGGAGGCGTCTGGTGTCAGGTCCAGTGGCCATGGAGTTTCTCCCATGAAACGAAAACCTAGAGCTGTGGCGTTCGTGTCACTAATGCCAATATTTCTGTTCTGCGTCGCCTTCAGAGGAGAAAACTACCGAAATAACTAGTTATTTTCAGACTGCCAGATTTGCTCTTCAATCCCCCCAGTAGTTGTTTTCCTTTTCTGATTAGTGGACTAAAACGGTAATTCTCTAAACTTTACGTTGTCTGACTCATGATGCTGAAACATCGCAGTTTACACGTGGAGTCATTCATTCCGGAGATGATAATGGCAAGGCAACAGCTATGATCCCGTCATCGGGGATATTATCGGTTATTGCCAGCGATTTGGGATTCATACTTAATTCGTAAATGATTACCCTTTTTTCCTTATGTATGAGACTTATTATCTACCACTCCAAAAAATATGTATTGTGTGTGTATATATATATATATATACACATACACACACACACACATATATATATATATATATATAAATTTATTTCAAATTGAGTATGCCAGTTTCATGACTCTATGGTAGTTTTGTAATATAATTAGGCAATAACTTGTGATCAGAAGTTAGAATCACCTTATATATCAAGTTCTAAAGTAGTATTAGTTTATGTCTTATAAAATGCTGTTTGGGTTTTTTTGGTAGATTTTTCAGTACTAGAAAATAAAATGGAAAGTCTTTGCAGTTACACTGATACGTGTTAATGAATTTTATCTAACCTGTGCTAAATGCTTACTGTTCATAAGGTCAGAAAAAGCCCAGCCCAGCCCGCTGGTGTTGCTCAGTGGTTGGATGTCAGCTGGTCATGGTTGGATTCCCAGTCAGGGCACGTGCCTTGGTTGCCGGCTGGGTCCCCAGTGGGGGGGCATGCAGGAGGCAGCCGATCCATGATCCTCTATCATCATTGCTTCTCTCTCTCCCTCCCTCTTTGAAGTCAATAAGATATTTTTTTAAAAAAGAAAGAGGCCGAAACCGGTTTGGTTCAGTGGATAGAGCGTCGGCCTGCAGACTGAAGGGTCCCAGGTTCGATTCCGGTCAAGGGCATGTACCTGGGTTGCAGGCACATTCCCAGTGGGGAGTGTGCAGGAGGCAGCTAATCGATGTTTCTCTCTCATCGATGTGTCTAACTATCTCTCCCTTCCTCTCTGTAAAAAATCAATAAAATATATTTTAAAAAAAAAGAAAGAAAGAGGATATACAATAAGTAAGTATACAGTAGTTTCAGGTGGTGATAAATGTGAAGAAAATATAGCAAGATCAGAGATCAAGATAGAGTGACTAGAGAGGGTGTCTAATTTTGATAGGGAAGTGAACAAAGAAGATCTACCTGTCTGAGGAGTCGATGTTTTGATGAGGAGGGTATGAGGAAAGAAATTTAAGATAGCAGTAACTGAAAAAGCAAAGACCTTAAGGAAGGGATGAGCTAATTCCAAGGATGCCAGTGTGGCTGGTGTATAGTGATGGGAAATGAGGCCAGAGTGATTACTAAGGACTAAATAAGATGGAACTTGATACTCATTTTTCTGTTTGTAATGAGAAACTGGACTTTGTAATGAGAGAGGATTTTGTACAGGGAAGGATCATCTGATTTATGCTTTTGATGACTGGTTGCTGGGTGGAGAGTAGACCAGATTGGAGGAAAGTGAGGAAACCACCTCCTAAGGAGGTTTGTGGTAGTGTGACCGGACAGTCAGTGGGTCTATACTGCCTGTCACTACTTGAGTCTAAGCAGAGATGGGGTTGAATCATGTGAGTGTTTATTCCAGTACTGCCGGCAGCATGGGAGAACAGCAGGTCATCCACAAAAACCTGCTCTGCAGCGCCCCCATAAGCCAGCTGCTTATATTGGGTAGGACAAGGATTATATGGGGAAGTGGGAGGCTGGGGTGGGACTCCTTGTTTGGGCAACAAAGTTGTTAATCTTTCCATGATAATAGGCAATCCTCGAATGAGAATGGTTCCAAGGTTGACTCCCAGATCCTGGTGGCACAACTCCCAGCCAGGTCAGAATGTCCTTTCTCTAACCAACACAAGGCAATCATGGTTAACAGAGCATGGTTAATATTTCCCATAACCATAGCTCGTCCCCAATCTTCTATTTTTGCCCCTAACAATAGTCCAGTTGAGAAGTGGTGGCTTGGCCTAGATATGTAGAATTGTAGTTAGTGAGAAGTAGTTTGATTTGGAATATAATTTTAAGATAGAGCCAAATGGTCTTGCCTTCATGTCTAGCACCCCCCACCCCATACCACCCCCCCCCCCAATTTTTTTTTTTTTTTTTTGAGAAATCAACTGTTTTGCCCAAGCATCTGGGTGAACAGTAGCGCCATTTACAGAAATGAGGGCTGGAGTGGATGCACTGGTTTCTGAGGAATAAATCGAGATCTGAGTTTGATCTAGTATACAGCTCAGAATATGTGCAGCAGCCAAGTTGGATTTCCACAGTTGTTTCTCAGGGAAGATGTCTGGCTAGAGAGATAATCTGGGAGTCAGATTTATAGGTGATATTTAAATCTTTGGGCTGCCGGGAGGACATTGAGTGGAGAGTTAGTGGAGAAGAGGGCAGATGTGTGGGAGCACTCCAGTCAGAAGAGCCAGCCGTGATGGAAACAAAAGAATGTGGCATCTGTGACACTAGGGGAAGGAAATGTTTCAGGAAGGAGGCAGCCATCAACTGTAAAGCCCTGCTTCAGAGGATGAGGATTATATATTCATCATGTGACCAAATAACATAGTTGAAATTTGATGAGAGCCCTTTGAGTGAACTAGTGGGCCTAAAGTGATTAGAGTAGGTTAAGAAGTGGATGGTGGTGATGATGTTACAGCATTTTCATGTATTCATGAAAGTAATGATAAGCACAAGCCCTGGATAGATGTGCTCAAATGGAAAGGTTGGTCTTGGATAGAAGGATGGTTTCTATTTAATTTTTGAAACAGGAGGGTAGAAAGACTATATGGTACATACATGCAGTAGGATGAAGGGGGAAAGACAAGGCAATTGAAGTGATTGTTTCCGGTTTTTGCTGTGTTTGTTTTTTTCACAGAGAGGAAGGGGGGGGCGGGGGAAGAGAAACATCAATGTTGGAGAAAAATATCGGTTGCTTCCTACACTCACCCCAACTGGGATTGAACGTGCAGCCTACGTATGTGCTCTGACCAGGAATGGAACCCGCCACCTTTTGGAGCACTGAATGACACTCCAGCCTACTGAGCCACACCGACGAGGGCTATTTCCATTTTCTTGAAGAAACAAGTGGTCAGGCCAGGGAGGAGATGGGTGTTGGAGATTTTGAGGAAGCTGTAAATTTTCCAGAGCAGAAAAGCCATTTTTCTAGGATCAATACAATATCAAGTTCCTATTTAACGTATAGGCATGAATTTTTTTAATATATTTTATTGATTTTTTTACAGAGAGGAAGGGAGAGGAATAGAGAGTTAGAAACATTGATGAGAGAGAAACATTGATCAGTTGCCTCCTGCACACTCCCCACTGGGGATGTGCCTGCAACCAAGATACATGCCCTTGACCGGAATCGAGCCTGGGACCCTTGAGTCTGCAGGCCGACGCTCTATCCACTGAGCCAAACCGGTCAGGGCTATAGGCATGAATTTAAAGTTAAGGCCAGCCAAAATAGTTGTCTCTTTAGTTGAGACCTGAGCTAGGCAGAAAATTGGGTTTGGTGGAGGGCAGGCAGTTAGGGATATAAGGACAATGAGACGTGGGATGAGCAAATAAATATAAGAAAACATATAATTATTTAAATATATACATATAGTGTTCTATTTTTTCTTTTTATTTGTGTTTGTGTAAATGTGTGTGTGTGTGTGTGTGTGTGTGTGTAAAAATGTCGGTACCCTAGACATTTTTAGTTAACCTAAGAACATTCAAACCTGTAAAGAATTTTTGTGATTTATTTGAGCCAAACTGTTGACAATTTCTGGAAAGCAAAATCTTAACGTATTGGGATAATGCTCCAGGGAATGGCGGTTTTTTCATCTATTTTTTAAACCTTGCCATCAAAGGAGGAGATGGATGTGGGTTACATGAAATCCATTGGTGATAGATTAGAGATGGGGATACAGTGGGGCAGTCCTCTGGGACTGGATAAAGAATAAAATGATAGACACTTCTTTTACTTAGGTGGGTGCAGGATAGTTAAATCAACAGTTAACACGATAAAGATAACAATAACTGTGAAGGAGTTTGTGATATCTGTCCTGGCACCCAGGGCATTTGGTTGTGCCCTGAATGGGTCCAGAAAAAAGGGAAGTTACAAGTTATCCTGACATTTTAATGATACCTTATCTTAGATACAAAAAGACTATAAGCTCTGTTAAAGTATTGATTGATCTTGTCATGCCCTAGCCGGTTTGGCTCAGTAGATAGCATGTCGGCCTGCGAACTGAAGGGTCCCAAGTTTGATTCTGGTCAAGGGCACATGCCCAGGTTGCTGGCTTGATCCCCAATAGGGGGTGTGCAGAAGGCAGCCAATCAATGATTCTCTCTCATCATTGATGTTTCTGTCTCTCTCTCCCTTCCTCTCTGAAATCAATAAAAAATATTTTTAAATCATTTTATTATGCAAGAATCTATACTTAAGTATATATACTATATAGTGGGAATACTTGCTCATACCTTTCAAACCAAAACAAAGGAATTTGGAGATCATTCTCTCAGGGAGATTAGGTAGTTTCCAGGGGTGAAATAGACTCAGTGGAAGCACAAGGCTGGAGCCAGAAAGTTCTGTGCTGTGTGGGAGCCTCTCTCCTTAAGAAAGATGGGAAATTGGGAGTTCCAGGCATTTGTAGTAAAGAGAGGATGAATTTCTGATGGGTTCAGTCATGAAATGGTAGAGCTGAAAGGGACTTAAAGACGCAATTTAGCCCTTTTTTTTTTTTCCATTTAGAAAGTGAAGAAATAAATCTTACAACTTAACCTATTTGCGTCTCAAGATAGAAAGTCCAAGATAACTGAATTAGTCCTAGGAAAC